TATATATATATATATATATATATATAATATACATATATATAATTTGTCTCTGTTCATTATGGTTTATTTACAGAGGCCATAGACAAAGTGTGGGAAAGCCAGCAGCAACACTTAGAGTGCATTCAGGATCCTCCGGACATGAATATGTACAGATTGGCTCGAACCACTACCATCAATGGCATTGACGTCCCTTGTTACAAATGTCTCCGTGGAAGCAACAGCCTGGAGGGATTCCACAAAGCTTTGCCTAACATGATTCCAGGTACAAGTTGAATTGCAGCTAGTTAATAAATAAATGAGTTTCCATCATCTGCATATTGCTCATAAATGCTACATCTGTGATCGCACTTACTCAAGATATTATTTTGTATATCATTGTTATCTTTACTATATGGGTGAATTCAGTTATTTGTAATCATGAGTTTAATGTAATTGCATTTATTTATTTAGTTAAAGGGTTAGTTCACCCAAAAATGAAAATTCTGTTATTAATTACTCACCCTCATGTCGTTCCAAACCTGTAAGACCTTCGTTCATCTTCAGAACACAAACTAAGTTATTTTTGATGGAATCTGAGAGCTCTCTGACGTCTCTGAGAAGCAATTCTTCTCCCCGAGTTACCGTCTTTTGGAGAGTACCCCAAAACGGAATCAGCATTGTTTACGTTCAGCATGCGCACAGTGTCTACTGAATGTAAACAACGCTGATTGCGTTGATTACATTTTGGCGTACTCCCCAAAAGACGGTAACTCGGGGAGAAGAATTGCATAATAAATTATGTTATTATTGTTTTCCTTGCGCACAAAAAGTATTCTCGTAGCTTTGTAAAATTACGGTTGAACCCCTGATGTCACATGAACTATTTTACAGATGTCCTTGCTACGTTTCTGTGCATTAATCGTAGGGATATGCCGGTATCAAATTTTCATGTTGTGATTAATTGCTATATATTTATTCACGGTATTTAGAAGTGCCCACGATAACGATATCGTGCATATTCATTACCGTGATATATCGCATTACCGAATACCGGCACAAGTCTAGTTGATCGTGGTATTTCCCTTGCTGTCTATGGGAGGGTCAGACAGCTCTCAGATTCCATCAAAAATATCTTAATCTGTGTTCCGAAGATGAACGAAGGTCTTACGAGTTTGGAACGACATGAGAGTGAGTAATTAATGACAGAATTGTTTTATTTTTGGGTGATCTAACCCTTTAATTAATTTTTTTAAAGGTCCCCACTGTGCAGCACGTCCCTGTCAGGTTTACCTGATTAGTGGAATCGCTCGCTGGAATTCAGACTGCAGTTCTGATGCTGTGTTCGGTGGCAAAGGTCGACGCCACAGACCGTACTCGGCCCCTCTAATTGATCGCCTCAACACCCGATGTCAGCAGCTGTTTGGAGAGACTGTAGAGGAGAATAGCCACGCACCTGCTAATGTGACGTCGAATGAGTTGCTTGGTTTGGAATACCTCTTCAGCCAAAGCACAGGAGAATCTGGTCCTTTCTCCCTCAGTGACATCTCCAAGGATGGACCCAGTCCAGAGGAAGAGGTGATCCAGCCTGGCCAGTCTGACCCAGATGAGGACGATGTGGCGTACCAGAGTGACCCAGAGGCAGATAACGACATAGTGCCTACCATCCCAGCCCACATCAACCTTACTACTGACGAGACCACTGCAGCTCACTCTCCAGCCTTTGTAAGTAACTTAGTGTTTACTAGGGGTGTAACTTAGGGAAGTAACTTAGATCTGACAATGCATCTGTAATATGGTTTGTTAAAAATAACAACACGTAAAACAGAGTTCGGCTAATGTATGTTTTTGTTGATGGATATGCATTCTGGCTTCGCAATACATTAACATAAAACAAAAAACGTGGACAAACCAGTCACTCTTTGTTCAGTGCGAGTGCCGTATGCTGGAATATGACCGGTCATTTATGCCGTCATCAGCCAGGTGTTGATAGCGCGCGTGCACAGGTGAGACCTGAACAGCACATGTTGCTATCTGTGTTTAAACTAAACTCGTGTAATCCTTGCCATTTTGAACTTTCAAGAGCAAGAAGACGTGACTGAGAACTCGCGTGCGCAGTGAGAAGATTTGTGTGTGTGCTCATCTGAAGCGGGAAACGCGTGTCTCAGAACGCGTGCAAATATTGAGTTAGTTTTCAAGTCTTGAGCTTGAATGGACAAATTCACACAAAAATTATGTAAAAATGCCTGTCTTGGTGAGTATCCTAGCAGACATAGTTGGTTGAACGCACAGTATCAGTGCACTGGATCCGTGCATTATCTTAAAGGGGTCATATGATGCGATTTCAATTTTTCCTTTCTCTTTGGAGTGTTACAAGCTCTTGGTGCATAAAGAAGATCTGTAAAGTTTTGACACGAGCGCATCTGAAAAATATAGCGGAGGACACAGAGTGAGCTGCTGCAGAGAGACAAACTTAATATGAAGGGCTTTAAAAACTTGTAAGATATAGTAGTTTATCCACCGTTTTCCTATGCCCCATGACGCTTTGTGCAAATTATAGGAGTAACTTCCATTTACACTGTAAACAATCAGCAAAAGGTTCGCTCTATGAACGCAATAAGCATTTTCAAAAACTGGGTACAAAGGTTATAATAGTTTTGCATTTTTAAATTCGTTTTATTTTAATATCGTTTTCAAATTTGCAATAAAATTCAGTTTAGTTTTTATTAGTTTCATTAATAATTTAGTTAGTTTTTTTTGTGAACACATTTCTGTTTAGTTTTTATATAGTTTAGTTTCAGTTTTAGATTTTGTTTCGATTAAAGTTTAGCAGAATTAACAGAATAGTATTTACGCTGTCATTTGCAGGGTCAGGGCAGGTACAGAATTAAATTAGTGCTGCTGTCGGATAACGGGTCGGTTGTTCTTTTAAGCACTGCGGGTTAGGGGTGGGAATCACCAGAGGCCCCACGATACAATATTATCACGATACTTGTGTCACGGTACAATTTTAAATGTATTGCAATATTCTGCGATATATTGCAATTTAATACCTTTTTCCAAATTCAAATTATGTCCCCAAAAGAAAACTTTGGCAACATCTGTTTTAACTAAAAATAAAAAAATTTCAGTTAAATTTGATTGCTGCAATGCAAAATGGGATTGTCAAGCAGACAAACTGACCAACACTTTCATGAAAAACTGTCATAAATGATGTATGCACTTGGCAAACTCAACTATTTGTATTACAGTCTAGTCTAGTCCACCTTAATTAGATTTAAACAGGTATGCACTGCTGTGCTACTATAGGTATTTTGAACAATGTAACTTGAACTTGCATAAATAAGTTGTGCAGACCCTTCAGCAATTGGGGCATTTGAAAGTAAATTACTGTTAAATTTAAAATAAATAAAACATAGTCTTACATCCGATTTAATTTGCGGACAGGGCTTTCCTGATAACTTTCCGTGATGCCGCCATCTTTATTGTACTAACTTACTGCATGCTTAAAGGAACACTCCACTATTTTTTAAAATAGGCTAATTTTC